TGCGATCTACCCACACTACCTTTGAGATCGACGTATTGGGCAACCCTGCTGCAGAGTAACTCTACAGAGTACAGAGTACAGAGCAGAGTTACTCTGTACTCTGCACTTGTGGTCCTGAGTTTGTTGTTACTCTGTAGAGCACTCTTTTTTTGAGTTGTCCTTATAGATTGGATTTGTGCTAACGAGCCAGCTGTCCACGAATAACCGAGCAATCTGTGTGTGTGAGATAATGTGTTATTGATGACTCAGCAGTATTTTGTGACGTAACCATCATCTGATATCGGCCGGCGAAGCAGCTGGTTGATGAAGATAACAGCTCACACACACACTTATCAGCTCACACGTGTGTGTGTGTGTGTGTGTGTGTGTGTGTGTGTGTGTGTGTGTGTGTGTGTGTGTGTGTGTGTCAGAATCACCGTCTGAACCGGTCGGAGCGTCTCAGGTTTTCTGAGGAAGTAGAGATGTTGAAGGTTCTTCAGCATCCGAACATCGTCCGTTTCTACGACTCCTGGAAGTCGTCACTGAGGGGCCACAAATGCATCATCCTGGTGACGGAGCTCATGACCTCCGGCACGCTGAAGACGTGAGTCCCTGAACACAGCACGACATGTCAGTCCCTGAACACAACACTACATGTCAGTCCCTGAACACATCACAACATGGAGGTCCATAAACGCCCCACCAGCGACTAGATAACTTGTTTTCTGGACCGATAAAGTCCAATTGGACCCCCCCCCCCCCTGAGCCCAGGTGCCTCTGCGCCCCCTTCAGGTACCTGACGCGGTTCCGTCAGATGAAGCTGAAGCTGCTGCAGCGCTGGAGCCTCCAGATCCTGAAGGGGCTCCACTTCCTGCACTCCCGCTGCCCCCCCCGTCCTGCACCGGGACCTGAAGTGTGACAACGTGTTCATCACCGGGCCCAACGCGGCCGTGAAGATCGGAGACCTGGGCCTCGCCACGTTGAAGAGGGCGTCGTTCGCCAAGAGCGTCATCGGTGAGAGAGGGGGGGTCTGAAGAAGTTTTAAAGGTCTCCTATCATACTATCTTTAGGTATATATTACAGGTCTCAGATATATATAAATATATGTTGACATGTCTCTGAAGTGTCCTGCTCCAAACCCCAAACAGATCCTTGTAGCCCCCCCCTCTCTTCCAGCTGTTACTAAGGACATGTCTCTGAAGGGTCCTGCTCCAAACCCCAAACAGATCCTTGTAGCCCCCCCCTCTCTTCCAGCTGTTACTAAGGACATGTCTCTGAAGTGTCCTGCTCCAAACCCCAAACAGATCCTTGTAGCCCCCCCCCCCTCTCTTCCAGCTGTTACTAAGGACATGTCTCTGATGTGTCCTGCTCCAAACCCCAAACAGATCCTTGTAGCCCCCCCCCCCTCTCTTCCAGCTGTTACTAAGGACATGTCTCTGAAGGGTCCTGCTCCAAACCCCAAACAGATCCTTGTAGCCCCCCCCCCCTCTTCCAGCTGTTACTAAGGACATGTCTCTGAAGTGTCCTGCTCCAAACCCCAAACAGACCCTTGTAGCCCCCCCCCCCCCCTCTTCCAGCTGTTACTAAGGACATGTCTCTGAAGTGTCCTGCTCCAAACCCCAAACAGATCCTTGTAGCCCCCCCCTCTCTTCCAGCTGTTACTAAGGACATGTCTCTGAAGTGTCCTGCTCCAAACCCCAAACAGATCCTTGTAGCCCCCCCCCCTCTCTTCCAGCTGTTACTAAGGACATGTCTCTGAAGTGTCCTGCTCCAAACCCCAAACAGATCCTTGTAGCCCCCCCCTCTCTTCCAGCTGTTACTAAGGACATGTCTCTGAAGTGTCCTGCTCCAAACCCCAAACAGACCCTTGTAGCCCCCCCCCCCCCCCTCTCTCCCAGCTGTTACTAAAGAGCTGACTCTGGGTCAGTAGCTTCAGAGAGAGAGTAGATCTCATCAGGAGAACTCTCCCAGCAGAAACTCAGCTAAATGCTGCCGTGATGAAACTCCATATCATGTTCCAAACCACATGAAGGATTCTCTCTGAAACAGTATGGAGCTCAAACTCTTTCTCTCTCTCAGGTTTACCACAAGGTGACTTCCTTTTGATTTCCTGCTTCTTCACACATGCTCTCTCCAGTACAGGTTAGCTCTGAGTGTTAGCATGCTAATGTAAACACAGACCATATTACTTCCAGAAACGTCTCATTGTTTCTGACAGCAACGTTTCTGATTGGCCCGTGGGTGTAAAGCCCGCCCACATTTTAGTAATGTGGTCATGACGCAGCAAATCTGGATCAGCTCCGTTGTTCCCCCGTTTTTAGAGATGTGGGTACGGAGGAAAAGAGAGAGGGGTTTATTTCCTGACACTTTGAGAGTCTCCTGACACACGGGGGACACACCGGGGACACACGGGGGACACACCGGGGACACACCGGGGACACACGGGGGACACACCGGGGACACACCGGGGACACACCGGGGACACACCGGGGGGACACACCGGGGACACACCGGGGACACACCGGGGACACACCGGGGACACATGGGGACACACCGGGGACACACCGGGAACACATAGTGAAGTAGAAAAGACATCAATTTGTGAGTCTCCTGACACACATTTAATGTAAATCTTCTTTGGAAACTGAGCTTCAAACTGTGGGACTAATAACTGTAGATGATGTGGATAGTTTATATGTTTGTACTTAAACATGTGTGAATGAACATGTCTCTTTATATCGAGCGGAGGACCTTCTATTGAAGTTGCTGTTGTGATGCATTCAGGGACCCCGGAGTTCATGGCTCCAGAGATGTACGAGGAGAAGTACGACGAGGCGGTGGACGTGTACGCCTTCGGGATGTGCATCCTGGAGATGGCCACCTCCGAGTATCCGTACTCCGAGTGCCACAACGCCGCGCAGATCTACCGCAAAGTCACCAACGTAAGCCCCGCCCACCTGACCACTTCCTGTCTGTGGTCACATGACTGACTGTCCGTTTGTCTCGCAGGGAACCAAGCCGGACAGTTTCTTCAAAGTGAAAGTCCCCGAGCTGAAAGAGATCATTGAGGGCTGCATTAAGACCGACAGCAGTGAAAGGTAACCAATCAGAGCGCAGCATTCACACCTGCAGCTCACCTGACTGACCTGAACAAACACCGTGACAGGAAGTAAAGCTTCACTTCCTGTATACATTCTCTCTTTGTACATAAACACGTAAAACTAGATAACCCTACTCCGCAAACAACCACACCACATGATTCTGGTTCCGAGAAGAATGACCCAGTTACTGCTGGACTGTAATATCCTGCGCTAACGAGCTAACGAGCTAAAGAGCTAACTCCCGGGACCCTCAGTCCGACCGCTCGTCTCTGGATCTGAGATACGATACGATAATACTTTAATGGTCAGTGAGAGAAAAGCTGCTCAAAGAGCCTTCAGCGTGATCTGATCTGGATTCAGCTAGGGTCATCAAAGTCAAGTTCGTTCAGTTTGTGTGAACAGAGAGATCGAAATACTGTTTCACACAATCCAGAATACAATAACAAAGATATATCAAAATATGTATACAAATATGTATGTACCTATATACACAATCAACAGATTCATTTATACATATGCACACATTAACACCTAAATAAAAGCACAACAATCAATATATACAAAATAACAGTCACTTCAATATCTTTGGGAAATGTACATTAATGCAGACGGTCCATAGCAGCGTGAAATCATGAGTACTCAGTGGCAGAGATGTTAAAGTACACACATCCTACACTCAAGTAGAAGTACACACATCCTACACTCAAGTAGAAGTACATATACTCGTGTTTAAAGATACTCTGGTGAAAGTAGAAGTACTGACTAAATTTCTTTACTCAAGTCAAAGTAAAGAAGTATGGGCTTTGAAATGTACTTCAGTAAAAAGTACCCATAACTAGCAGCTGTTTTAAAGAGTACCTGACCTCCCTTTATATTAATAGAACAATAATGTCATTGTTAGCTAATGAATGTTTCCATGCTGAACAACGGCAACATGACAACGTTTTCATTGGTCCCTCTTCTTTAGAGAAGACCAGGAAATGATGGATACACGGATCGTGTTCAAATCAATAGGCACGCAATGACTCTAAATAATAATGATCACGCCACCAAACACACATTCAAACTAAAGGAACCAGCCTGTTTGGAAAATGTGAGAAGTAGAAAGTACAGGTATTTGTGTTCAACATGTAAGAAGTAGAAAGTACAGGTATTTGGGTTCAACATGTAAGAAGTAGAAAGTACAGGTATTTGGGTTCAACATGTAAGAAGTAGAAAGTACAGGTATTTGGGTTCAACATGTAAGAAGTAGAAAGTACAGGTATTTGTGTTCAACATGTAAGAAGTAGAAAGTACAGGTATTTGGGTTCAACATGTAAGAAGTAGAAAGTACAGGTATTTGGGTTCAACATGTAAGAAGTAGAAAGTACAGGTATTTGGGTTCAACATGTAAGAAGTAGAAAGTACAGGTATTTGGGTTCAACATGTAAGAAGTAGAAAGTACAGGTATTTGGGTTCAACATGTAAGAAGTAGAAAGTACAGGTATTTGTGTTCAACATGTAAGAAGTAGAAAGTACAGGTATTTGTGTTCAACATGTAAGAAGTAGAAAGTACAGGTATTAGGGTTCAACATGTAAGAAGTAGAAAGTACAGGTATTTGTGTTCAACATGTAAGAAGTAGAAAGTACAGGTATTTGGGTTCAACATGTAAGAAGTAGAAAGTACAGGTATTTGGGTTCAAAATGTAAGAAGTAGAAAGTACAGGTATTTGTGTTCAACATGTAAGAAGTAGAAAGTACAGGTATTTGGGTTCAACATGTAAGAAGTAGAAAGTACAGGTATTTGTGTTCAACATGTAAGAAGTAGAAAGTACAGGTATTTGTGTTCAACATGTAAGAAGTAGAAAGTACAGGTATTTGTGTTCAAAATGTAAGAAGTACAAAGTACAGGTATTTGTGTTCAACATGTGAGAAGTAGAAAGTACAGGTATTTGAGTTCAACATGTGAGAAGTAGAAAGTACAGGTATTTGTGTTCAACATGTAAGAAGTAGAAAGTACAGGTATTTGGGTTCAACATGTAAGAAGTAGAAAGTACAGGTATTTGGGTTCAACATGTAAGAAGTAGAAAGTACAGGTATTTGGGTTCAACATGTAAGAAGTAGAAAGTACAGGTATTTGGGTTCAACATGTAAGAAGTAGAAAGTACAGGTATTTGGGTTCAACATGTAAGAAGTAGAAAGTACAGGTATTTGAGTTCAACATGTAAGAAGTAGAAAGTACAGGTATTTGTGTTCAACATGTAAGAAGTAGAAAGTACAGGTATTTGGGTTCAACATGTAAGAAGTAGAAAGTACAGGTATTTGGGTTCAACATGTAAGAAGTAGAAAGTACAGGTATTTGAGTTCAACATGTAAGAAGTAGAAAGTACAGGTATTTGTGTTCAACATGTAAGAAGTAGAAAGTACAGGTATTTGTGTTCAACATGTAAGAAGTAGAAAGTACAGGTATTTGTGTTCAAAATGTAAGAAGTAGAAAGTACAGGTATTTGTGTTCAACATGTGAGAAGTAGAAAGTACAGGTATTTGTGTTCAACATGTAAGAAGTAGAAAGTACAGGTATTTGAGTTCAACATGTAAGAAGTAGAAAGTACAGGTATTTGGGTTCAACATGTAAGAAGTAGAAAGTACAGGTATTTGTGTTCAACATGTAAGAAGTAGAAAGTACAGGTATTTGTGTTCAACATGTAAGAAGTAGAAAGTACAGGTATTTGTGTTCAACATGTGAGAAGTAGAAAGTACAGGTATTTGGGTTCAACATGTAAGAAGTAGAAAGTTCAGGTATTTGTGTTCAACATGTAAGAAGTAGAAAGTACAGGTATTAGTGTTCAAAATGTAAGAAGTAGAAAGTACAGGTATTTGTGTTCAACATGTAAGAAGTAGAAAGTACAGGTATTTGGGTTCAACATGTAAGAAGTAGAAAGTACAGGTATTTGTGTTCAACATGTAAGAAGTAGAAAGTACAGGTATTTGTGTTCAACATGTAAGAAGTAGAAAGTACAGGTATTTGTGTTCAACATGTAAGAAGTAGAAAGTACAGGTATTTGTGTTCAACATGTAAGAAGTAGAAAGTACAGGTATTAGTGTTCAAAATGTAAGAAGTAGAAAGTACAGGTATTTGTGTTCAACATGTAAGAAGTAGAAAGTACAGGTATTTGTGTTCAACATGTAAGAAGTAGAAAGTACAGGTATTTGTGTTCAACATGTAAGAAGTAGAAAGTACAGGTATTTGTGTTCAAAATGTAAGAAGTCAAAGTAAAAAGTCATCAGAAAAATAAGTAGTGGAGTAAAGTACTGATACCAGATAAATGTACTTAAGTACAGTAACGAAGTATTTGTACTCCATTACTTCCCACCTCTGGTTCTGGTCCTGGTTCTGGTCCTGCTGCAGGTTCACGGTGCAGGCCCTGCTGCAGCAGCAGTTCTTCCAGGAGCAGCAGGGGGTCAGCGTGGTTCTGGCCCAGGAGGACGACGGGGCGGCGCTGAAGCTCTTGCTGCGGATGGATCACAACAAGAAGCTGCACGGGAAATACAAAGATAACAACGCCATCGAGTTCCTGTTCGAGATCTACAAGGACGTCCCGGAGGAGGTGGCGCAGGAGATGGTGAGAGATATACCAGACATGAGTCAGCATTATGAGTCCTAATAACAGACATGAGTCAGCATTATGAGTCCTTATACCTGACATGAGTCAGCATTATGAGTCCTAATACCAGACATGAGTCATCATTATGAGTCCTAATACCAGACATGAGTCAGCATTATGAGTCCTTATACCTGACATGAGTCAGCATTATGAGTCCTTATACCAGACATAAGTCAGCATTATGACTCCTTATACCAGACATGAGTCAGCATTATGAGTCCTAATACCAGACATGAGTCAGCATTATGAGTCCTAATACCAGACATGAGTCAGCATTATGAGTCCTCATACCAGACATAAGTCAGCATTATGAGTCCTTATACCTGACATGAGTCAGCATTATGAGTCCTTATACCAGAGATGAGTCAGCATTATGAGTCCTAATACCAGACATGAGTCAGCATTATGAGTCCTAATACCAGACATGAGTCAGCATTATGAGTCCATATACCAGACATGAGTCAGCATTATGAGTCCTTATACCAGACATGAGTCAGCATTATGAGTCCTTATACCTGACATGAGTCAGCATTATGAGTCCTAATACCAGACATGAGTCAGCATTATGAGTCCTTATACCAGACATGAGTCAGCATTATGAGTCCTTATACCTGACATGAGTCCGCATTATGAGTCCTAATACCAGATATGAGTCAGCATTATGAGTCCTAGTACCAGACATGAGTCAGCATTATGAGTCCTAATACCAGAGATGAGTCAGCATTATTAGTCCTAATACCAGACATGAGTCAGCATTATGAGTCAGCATTATGAGTCCTTATACCTGACATGAGTCAGCATTATGAGTCCTAATACCAGACATGAGTCAGCATTATGAGTCAGCATTATGAGTCCTTATACCTGACATGAGTCAGCATTATGAGTCCTAATACCAGACATGAGTCAGCATTATGGGTCAGCATTATGAGTCCTTATATGTACCTGCGCTCAGGTGGTGCTCGGCTTCCTATGTGAGGCTGACTACAAGGCGGTTGCCACGGCGATCCGAGACCGAGTGACGGCCATAAAGCGTCAGCGGGAGAAACGCCGCCTGCTAGAGGAGTCTGACTCCGCCCCCAAACCATCTGAACCTGCCAATCACAGAGCGGCAGCCGCCACCAGCTCATCAGATGCCGGGAAGGCGGCCAATCAGGTGTGTCGAAACTGTTATTATCTTACCTGCAGAGCACGATGGAATGCTAATGCCCAGTAGCAGACTGAGCTCCCGTCCCGTGCATTTCCCATTTCTTCCTGCGGGGGGGCAGGTGTGCAGTTTGCTGCAGTCGAAGATAAGAAGTACTTTATGTATAAAAACAGCGATTCTCTTAGAAAAGTCATCGCACATGAAGAGGTGATGAAGAGGCAGGATTAATGTTTTCAAGATTCAGATTCTCTCTCATCATTACATTACATTTCATTTAGCTGACGCTTTTATCCAAAGCGACTTACAATTACCAACTAGAGAATGCAATTCCTGAAGAAATTGCTAGTGGGAATGCTTTATGCTGAAAAGCTGACGCTAAACTGCTATGCTGAAATGTAATGTGTAAGAAGAAAGTGAAGAATTTAGATTGAAATGATACATGAACACTGGGGGCTTGAATGTGTGATGAGAGAAAAGAAAGTAAAAAGGCTTGGAAAAGCAGCAGAATATTTGAACTGCAAACTTTTGAACTAAGTTGATGGTGAATGATCCGTCGCCATGGCAACGGCATTTGATGACACCCCATAATACGCTTAGATGCGTTGATGGCTGTGTTACCAAACCTGTGAAGTTTTGTGCCGTTTGGAACATTTTCACTGAAGTTATGAGAAAACCGTGTTTCATGGCGAGCATTGTGTTGCCATGGCAACGGCATTTGAAGAAACACCATAATTGACGTAGAGCTGTTGAGGGCTGGACCGGTGATATACAAGCGAAGTTTGGGGGACGATTGGACCGTTTCCGTTGGACTTACAGCGACATCATGTTTCATGGCGAGTGGTTTGTCGCCATGGCAACGGCATTTGATGACACCCCATAATACACTTAGATGCATTGATGGCTGCATCGTTACCAAACCTGTGAAGTTTTGGGCCGTTTGGAACATTGTGTGTGAGAGAGAGAGAGAGTGTGTGTGTCTGTGTGTGTCAGAGAGAGAGAGAGAGAGAGAGAGAGAGAGAGAGAGAGAGAGAGAGAGAGAGAGAGAGAGAGAGAGAGAGAGAGAGAGATGTTTGAACGGAGTTTCTGCGATGTTGCATGCAGGAAGAGAAGAGGTGCAAAATTCTGGCGGAATAATAATAATTTTGTCCGTAGAATAACATTTACAGACAAACATGACAGGGACATTCTCCCTGGAGTAACTGAGAGCTAAGTGCCTTACTCAAGAGCACACTAGTGGTGGTGTTCCTGGCGGGATTTGAACTCACAATCTTCCGATCTTCAGCCCACCTCACTATCCATTAGACCACCACTACCCCATCATGAGCTCAGCAGCTTCAGAGGAGATATGGAGATGACAAACTGAAGTCCTCCAACAGAGCAACATCTATAGGACATAGAACAGATACAATAGAAATAGTGCAAGAAGAGTCTAGATACAAGTAAATGGAATATGATATATAGGTCAATAATTAGCAAACAGATGAATGTTATGGACGTTCTTCACAGAGTTCAGGTGTTTAACAGTCTTTTGATCCTCCGGCAGACGTCAGGGAGCACTGAGGATTCTGGGAAGAGCCGGACGGAGCACCCCCCCGCTACAGGTGAGGGTATGTTATCTAAAACAAGTCTCATTGGTTTTCACTGAGTTATTTATTATTTCATTTATCACACCTTCATTCCTCTGCAGCAGACTCTGAGATGGACACTTCCTCAGGTGTGCCGGAGAGGGTTGAAGCCACGCCCCCTCCACTCACTAACCCCGCCCCCCTTTATTATGTCCCCGCCCCTGCTGCCGTGGCCCAGGAGACCCCTCGACCTCAGGTTCCTCCCCCTGTGACCAGGACTCCATCCAAAGCTCCGCCCCTTCCTGTGCTGCGCTATCCCAAAGTAAGCAGGGGGCGGGGCTGGTGTATGTAAAGGGGCGGGGCATATGTTAGGGTGTGGGCAGGGCTTGTATACATATAGGGGGCGTGGCATTGTGTTGATGTCTGCCGCCCTCTGGAGGAGAATTAAGGTACTGACATGAGCTCAGCTGTGGAGGTACAAACGTCTCTCTGTTTGTGTCTCAGAGCATCGCTGTTTCCCACAATGCCGAGCGACACACAGTCAGTGGCTTCTCTTCACCTATTGACAGGTAACACACACACACACACACACACACACTCAACATGAGGCCCTTCTTCAGTTTTTAAGAGATTACGTTGTTCTTTAGTGAGTGTTGCGTCTCTGTTTGCAGCTCCGCCTCTGACGTGACCTCGGGTTTGAGTGACTGCAATGACGGCCAATCAGAAAAGGGCAATCAGGAAGTGGTGACAGCGAAGAAGCAGTTCAGACGGAGAGCCAAAGCTTGCCTGAGAATCACAGGGGTGACGAAACATCAATATCATCAATATCATCATTAATAACCAGTGATGTAATGCAGGGATGAAATGGGACATTATGCACAATCAGTACTTTTAGTACTTTTAGTATATTTTTATATATTATTTTTTTACACACCTTATCTAACACCTTATCCAACACTGTGTATTACACACCTTATCACCTTATCTAACACTGTGTGGCACGGCGTGGTGCGTTCAGGTGTCAGACCTGGGCGACCGGGTGGTGGAGTGCCAGCTGAAGACCCACAACAGCAAGATGGTGACCTTTAAGTTTGACCTGGACGGAGACAGCCCTGAAGACATCGCCTCGGTGATGGTGAGCTTATGTTTGACTTCTGCAGCGAGCCTCTGATTCCCCAGGGGGCGCTGCAGCTTGCTGTCGTTCAGCTTCCTGTTGTTCAGCTTCCTGTTGTTCAGCTTCCTGTTGTTCAGCTTCCTGTTGTTCAGCTTCCTGTTGTTCAGCTTCCTGTTCTTCAGCTTCCTGTTCTTCAGCTTCCTGTTGTTCTTCAGCTTCCTGTTGTTCTTCAGCTTCCTGTTCTTCAGCTTCCTGTTGTTCTTCAGCTCCACAGAGACTTCCTGCTGCCCTCAGAGCGAGACGGCTTCATCCTGCGCATGTATGACATCATCCAGAGGGCGGAGTCTATGATGCAGCCCGGCGCCCCCGCTCAGGTGTGCAGGAGTTATTCATCTCTTCTGTGGGGGTTTCTCAAAGTCGAGGAGGCTTCCTTGGTAGGACATGTACCTCCGAGTGAGTTCCTTCAGAAGCGAGGCAAGAACACCTCCTAGCCTCGGAAAACAAAGAGTGGAACAGGCTAGCAAGTGTGCAGGTGTGCGTCATATGAGAGGCCCCGCCTTACATTTTCCGCCAAAGATTTTGGAAATTGGTCCGTGTGCAAAGCATTGTGGGGATTTTAAGACCGCGGAGGATACACATGTGCAGCCTCAAAATTTCCCGCAACGAAGTAGGCCGGCCTCGGTAGAATTCCAAGTATCCTGGACATTGGAACAGTCCTTCGGCGGCACTCGATGACGTAGTAGGCTTGAAATAGTGGCTCTGGAGCAGCTTTCCTCGACATTGAGAAACACCCTGTGAATGCGCCTCACCTGGCTCTACAGACAGGAAGTGCTCCTGCTTTGAGTTCCTCTTCATTAACCCTTCTTCTTCTTCTTCTTCTTCTTCTTCTTCTTCTTCTTCTGTTTCTCATGTTATAAATGTTTTCCAGCCTAACCGCCCCCCCCCGGATCTGAGCAGAACGCTGTCCTCAAAACCACTTCCAGGTAAGAGAAGTGAACACCTGAAGGTTCAGAGAGTATTCTAATATTAGTCTATAATAGCTTTCACACCAAGTACTTTGCCGTACTTAGTGCCCAGCACTTAGTGCCCAGCACTTAGTTCCCAGCACTTAGTGCCCAGCACTTAGTTCCCAGCACTTAGTTCCCAGCACTTAGTGCCCAGCACTTAGTTCCCAGCACTTAGTGCCCAGCACTTAGTGCCAGCACTTAGTGCCCCCATGGAACTAAAGAGCAGATCGCGTTCACACCGGAATAAGTTCCCTGAGGGAAGATTACGCAAATGAAGCCGCTGACGTCACTTCTTCTTCTTCTGCTTTGGGTTTACTGGCAGGCCGCAAACAACTTCACGGCGTATACTGCCACCCGGAGTCCCCGGCCGTAGAAGCTGCTGGGACTCCCAGCAGCTTCTACTGAAGCCTTCAGAGTAAATCGCCAGAACGCCGACACCTCCTCATCTCCACCGCTCCCATGTTTTTTTTTGTGTTGCCATAAGTTAGTCTCTCTCGGTTTGTGCGCGGGGCGAATGCTAATGCTAATAATGCTAATGCCAGCAAATACAATGGCGGCTTCACAAAACTTTTCAGAGTTTTACGGGGCGTGGTTTGCAATTCGCCCAGCCAATAGAAATTGAAACTTTTTTCTCCCCAGGATAGTCCCACCTCTCTAGCAGGCACTAAAATGGGGGTTAAAAGTTCCTGGCACTAAGTACTCTTTTTGGTGTGAACGCAAAATAAGAGGTACTAACGGAACTAAACGGGAAAAGTATGGGGAAAAGTACTCCAGTGTGAACGCGCCTATACAGTGCCATTCCCCTCCCCCACCTGGGTTAGTCTGACCACCTCTCACAGTTCCATTACCCAACATACACACCACTCATCAAACGTGTGAAAGCTACAGTGAGGAGGTATGGCCTGAGGGGGCAGACTCTATGCTACAGCACAAGTTTCAACACACAGCCTGGAGTGTGTTTGCCACCCAGGCCACCTTGGATTCCCATACAGACATTGACCACTATGCCTCCTCCGTACTGGACTACATCAGCACCACCATCAACAGTGTCACCACTCTGTAGCAGATAACAACCTACCCAAACCAGAAGCCGTGGATGAATAAAGAAGTTAGCCAACTACTGAAAGCGCGAAACATCGCCTTCAGATCAGGTGACGAACGGGCTTACAGTTTATCCAGGGCTCACCTAAAGAAGGGCATTAGGAAGGCCAAGCACTGCTACAAACTGAGGATTGAGGAGCACTTCAATAACTCCGATCCCCGGAGAATGTGGCGAGGCATTCAGGCCATCACTGACAACAAACCCACCACCCCCTCTCTCCCGTCAAACGACGTCTCCTTCCTCAACAAGCTGAATAATTTCTATGCTCGCTTCGACAGGGACAACCAGGAGACAGCCACTAAGGCTGTCCCCCCTGCAGACCACCAGCCCCTCACACTCTCACCTTTTGACGTCTTCACCACACTGAGCTGGATTAATGCACGCAAGGCTGCTGGACCCGATCGCATCCCAGGCCGCGTTCTCAGGGCCTGTGCTGGGCAACTGACTGAAGTCATGACGGACATTTTCAACCTGTCCCTGGCTCAAACTGCTTTAAAACCACCGCCATAGTGCCAGTGCCCAAACACTCTGCTGCAGCAGGCCTGAATGACTTCCGTCCCATTGCACTTACACCCATTCTCATGAAGTGTTACCCTGCTGAACTCTGCTCCCTGATAGACTCAAGCCCATACCCACCACCCACCTGTTTATATATTCATCTGTTTATAGCCTATTTATAATTATTCTATTTATAATTATTCTTAGTATGTAGACTCCTGCACTGCTATTTTGCACTTCTGGTCAGATGCCTAACCTACATTTCGTCACTAGTACATGTACTATGTAATGACAATAAAGTTGAATCTGAATCTGAATTATAGTCAGATCACATAATGATCCACTGTCTTCACCATAGGGAGTATAATGAGTGGATTTAAATATGCTGTAATGTGTTTTGGGGCCATAAAATAAAATGACAACAGGATTGTACGGTTATGAATGCATAAGAAGTTAGTTATGATGTAGTTAAAACAATATCTGATGATAGTCATTCTTTCTGAGTGTTCTGGACTGAGATAAATCATGAACACCATGAAGGGTACCAGCTTTCCAACCCAACACAAGGGTTAAGTGACTTCTACTACTTGACCCCCTGATGGTTTCAGGGCTACAGAAGAGTTGATTCAGCTCAAATAAAAAGACCCTCTGATTTACAGACGTCTCTCTCATGCCCTTTTCACACCAACGCCGTTCCAGGGCGGTTTTTCCTGTTCACACCGCAGCGGAGCCGCCTCTAAGCTCCGGTTTGTTTCAAGCACCAAAAAGTTGTCGGTCTAGAAAGCAAGCGCCGCATACATCACGCTTACGTCGGAGGCGGGGGCAGGGGCATCCGTTTTAATGTCATACCTGAAGTAATTAATGCTGCAAAGCTGGGTATTTTGAGCTTGGCGCATGCAGAGGCTAACAACAGCTAGCTCTCACGCCATCGAATAGGACGTATATTTACTTTCTTTCTCCTACCGAATCGTCGTTGAAGTTGATGATGATTGTAAAGAACTTTTGAATGTAGCATGTAGCGGCTGTAAAGTTGGTAGTAAAGTCGTCCCATTTCTTCCATTTCATTTCGACAGAGCAAAACGAGTAGCGCTTCAATACAATCGGCCATTGTTGTTGTTGTTGTCGCTGTGAGGGGTTTACGCAAACGATGACGCAATGACGCAGCACCAGTCGGGCTCTGAGCGGTGTGAACAGAGCGGGAGCTGAACCGAAGAACCGGTTCCGAACCAGAAAAGCTCTAGCACGGAGCTAGCACGGGAAAAGCCTTGGTGTGAAAGGGGTATGAGTGGAAGTCAACGGGAAAGTGTCTTTGGGTCCAGTGACGTCACAGACTGACAGGAAGTTGTAGTACCACCTCTTGGCCACAAGGAGGCGCACTTCCTGGGGGTTTGTTTCTGAGTCTCTGCTCCCCCCCCCTCCAGCTTCCTCTCCTGCCCACTCCGCCCAGCCCCCCCCCTCAGTATATCCTCCCGTCTCCCCCTTCCTCCCCCCCCCTTCTCCCCTCCTCAGCTCCGCACCCTCCCCCTTCTCACTGCCCCCCCCCTGACCAGCCTCTCTTCTCATTCGCTAACGTTCTCTCTCTGGCCATGAGCGTCGCCCACTCCCTGCTGCCCCCCCCAAACCCTGCCTCCCCCTTTTCCCTCCCCCCTGTCTCCCCCCATGTCTCCAACCCTAGGACCTAAGCCCCGCCCTCAAAGCCTCGCCCCCTTACCTGCTCCTCCCCCCTCCCATATATCCTCCCATCCCCCCACCCCTCAGACAGGCTCCGCCCCCGTCACCCAGCAAGGGGCGTCACCCACCTGGACCCCCGTCATCCAGCAGGGGGCGTCACCCACCTGGACCCCCGTCACCCAGCAGGTAAGCTTCTGTTAAAACCATGATGCATTCAGGAACTCCTCAACATTTAGTACTGAACCACAACAACCAGGTCATGGTCCAGGTCATGGTCCTGGTTCTGGTCATGGTCCGGTTCATGGTCCGGGTCATGGTCCGGGTCATGGTCCTGGTTCTGGTCATGTTCATGGTCCGGGTCATGGTCCTGGTTCTGGAGTCAGGTGGGACCTCAAAGAAACCTGGTTTCACCCTCCCCCCCAGGTCTCCCTCACTGTCGGGCGTTTCCAGGTGTCACCCTCTAAAGATGTTCCTGCTGTCCGTCATCCCGAGCCCCGCCCCCTCAGTCAGGCCACACCCACCGCTCATTCCCCGCCTCCTTCCATGGCAAGCCAATTAGAGAGCAGCATGGAGGAGACGAGCCAATCAGAGAGCAGCACAGTGAAGCTCTCCAGAGGACAGGAGGAAGAGGATGGGAGGGGGGGGGGCGCCGGCTCAGCCAATCGTGGAGCCGCTTGATGGCCCTCACCAGCTCTGACGAATCAGAGAGTGAGAACGAGGAGATGTGGGCGGAGCTGCAGGAGCTTCGTGAAAGGTGATTGGTCGATAGGGTTGTATGCAGGTTAAATTAGACAGATCGGGGGGGGGTTTAACTTTCTACCTAATAATGTCAGAATGAAGGCAAAACCATTTCAAATGTTGTCATTGGCAGACAACACGCGGAGGTGCAGGAGCTGCAGGCCAATCAGAAGCGAGAGATCGAGCAGCTGTACCTGAGGATGGGGAATGTCCCGCCCCCTGGCATCGTCTCCCTGGCGGCCATGTTGAAGCACCGGCAGCGCCGCCTCTCCGCCCGGAGAAACAGCCTGAGAGCGGAGCTGCTGCCCCCTGCAGGTGGGGAGCCACACTGCATTCATTATAACACTGATAACAACAATAACAACAACAACAATAATGGTGTTGTTCAGAGGCCTGTACTACGAAGCCGGATGTTCTCTTAGCTGACTTCAGGGAAAACTCTGGCTTTCCGGTCCTACGACGCTGGTTCTCTTCTTAGCGGGCTAGATCTCCATGGTAACTGCTGAACGGCTAACCTCCTCGGGAGGAGGTTAGGTTGCAGGCTAAGAGATCAACTCAGTGAAAGCACCGCCTGCTGACCAATCAGAGCTCACCACCTGCTGACCAATCAGAGCTCCGTGTGCGGAGTTTAAAGCGATCAAGTCATATTACAGGATAGAGGAAATACAGAAAAACTGCCGTTGCAGGAAAGACGGCCGGCAAAAATCAACTGACTGTGTGAACGTGAACATTAATAGAATATCCCCTCCCATCTTCAGAGCAATCTGACTATTATAACATTAGCGTTAAGAAAGCTTACTTAAATATCTGCCACAACATAAGTAACCGGATCAGAGTAACATTACAGTCCGCGGCACTGTGAGTGCAGACGTCGATGTGTCCCATTATCATTCATATCATATCACATCATAATGTATCATATATCTCCTTATCTGAGTCAGCTGAGCCGTATCTGGCCGTGCAACACTGCACAGTAGGGCTGCACGATATATCGTGTCGTGACGATAATCGCGATATGCGCATACACGATATTCCCATCGCAGGACGTGCGTATTTTTTTTTAGGACTTGCGATATTAAGTAGGCAAATTAACTCAAACACGTTGTGTTACAATTATTTTGCTGCTTGCTACAAAAGGAAAACTTGCGCAGCTCTCATGTCAGGGGTTCCTGAGTGAGTGACAGCAAACCACCAATCACAATCAACTCTCCAAAGCAAACGGACCCGGTGATGAAAGGTAAAAACACTGAATAAAGTAGTTTCATGTGTTTCTCCAGTTCGGCGCTGCTAACCGAGCTAGCTCAGCTTGTTGCTCTGATTCCTTAAGATCCAGACGTCCGTGACTAAAATCCTTCATCCGGTTAAATATAGTTAGAAAAATACCAATTGTATAGAATTAAAGTTCAAGAAAGGATGGTTTGCGGGGAAAAAAACTGTCTTTTCTTCAATTCCTGTATGTTTTCAATATATATCGCAGGGGGGGAAAAATCGCAATGTCAGTTTTTTCCAATATCGTGCAGCCCTAACTCACAGTGTCACATACTGTATGCAGAAGTATTATTTTAAGCAACACATTAAGTTGACGAAACACTGGAGTCAAATGTAATGAAAGTCAGATCGTGTCTTAGACGGGGCAGTGATATCATAAACCTGTTAATGTACGCATTCAAACACTTTCTCTGTTACCAGCTGTATTCACCTTGCAGGTGCAGCTATGTGGCTTTGATCCTGGATAAAGTGTTTAAGTCATGGATGTTTAAAGTTTCACTTCTTCATATTTGACTAATATTAAAGTTCACTTTTCATTCAGGAAGTATGACGCTGCGCTGTCAGTACGCTTGTCCATGTTTGTGATTGGTCGAATGCTCCAGATACCACCCCTTTCATGTGAACGCGCACCTAACTAGATAGGACACGGCTGGCTTGAGCGATCCACTTGATAACCAGCGTTGTAGTTCAGCTTAGCGAGAGCGCGTATGTTTTGGATTGGGCCAACCGGCTAACTCAAACATATCCAGGTTAGGTTGAACCGGCTTCGTAGTACAGGCCTCGGAGCTGCTGCCCCCTGCAGGTGGGGAGCCACACTGCATTCATTATAACACTGATAATAACAGCAGTAATGTAATTCAGGTATCATGAGGAAGAGCTCGGGCAGCAGTGGGTCTCAGGAGCGAGCGGGGAGAGGCGTGACCTTTGCCCCCGAGCACAGCTGTAGCTGAGCGGGAAGAAACGTCTCCAACACACCTGCACAGGTAACACAGCCGCGGGGGGGCGTGCTGACTCCTATCACTCCCTAATAATCCTATATTATATTTTATGTATTTTATCTATCTTATTTGATAAATTAAAGGGATGTATTTCAGGAGGAAACATTTAAAGAAGCCGGTCCTGCTCATGTTCACGTTGGTTAGTATTTAGAGCTTCGACAAAAAGTCAACTCTGAGAAAAAAGTTATGGAAAAAAGTAAAATTATAGAAACACAGACTACAGGAGAGGGAACAGCACAGGAGAGGGAACAGCACAGGAGAGGGAACAGCACAGGAGAGGGAACAGCACAGAAGAGGGAACAGCACAGAAGAGGGAACAGCACAGGAGAGGGAACAGCACAGAAGAGGGAACAGCACAGGAGAGGGAACAGCACAGACTACAGGAGAGGGAACAGCACAGAAGAGGGAACAGCACAGGAGAGGGAACAGCACAGGAGAGGGAACAGCACAGGAGAGGGAACAGCACAGGAGAGGGAACAGCACAGGAGAGGGAACAGCACAGGAGAGGGAACAGCACAGAAGAGGGAACAGCACAGGAGAGGGAACAGTACAGGAGAGGGAACAGCACAGAAGAGGGGAACAGCACAGGAGAGGGAACAGTACAGGAGAGGGAACAGCACAGACCACAGGAGAGGGAACAGCACAGGAGAGGGAACAGCACAGGAGAGGGAACAGCACAGAAGAGGGAACAGCACAGGAGAGGGAACAGCACAGGAGAGGGAACAGCACAGCACAGGAGAGGGAACAGCACAGGAGAGGGAACAGCACAGGAGAGGGAACAGCACAGGAGAGGGAACAGCACAGAAGAGGGAACAGCACAGGAGAGGGAACAGCACAGGAGAGGGAACAGCACAGACTACAGGAGAGGGAACAGCACAGGAGAGGGAACAGCACAGGAGAGGGAACAGCACAGCACAGGAGAGGGAACAGCACAGGAGAGGGAACAGCACAGGAGAGGGAACAGCACAGGAGAGGGAACAGCACAGCACAGGAGAGGGAACAGTACAGGAGAGGGAACAGCACAGCACAGGAGAGGGAACAGCACAGGAGAGGGAACAGCACAGCACAGGAGAGGGGAACAGCACAGCACAGGAGAGGGAACAGCACAGGAGAGGGAACAGCACAGGAGAGGGAACAGCACAGACGAAGAGGGCCTCTTTCAAAGGAACCGTTTGATGTTTGTTTTCATGCCCAGATTTGATAAAGAACTTAAAGGTGTCTCTGCCTGCAGGAGAAGACGAGGAGGAGGAGGAGGAGGAGGAGGAGGAGGAGGAGGAGGAGGAGGAGGAGGAGGAGGAGGAGGAGGAGGAAGAGGAAGAGGACGTCAGATCTATATTCAGAGACATCCATTCGGTTTGACTCCAGATCTGTGTTTATAAGACATTCAGCACTTTGTTATTAGTAAATCTAGTCTTGCCTGCAATGGCCGTTGCTGGAGTTACTAAACTTGCTGGTATTTTAGAAGTCTTTGCATTTAAAGCAAGTGGAGAGAAAGCTAAACCGCTGCTTGCTGAAGCAGGCAAACAACTCATCAAACAATTTGCCCTTAAAGGATGAGGTAAGGTAAGATCTTACATGTGTTTTTAAATGACTCTGAAATCCTCCGCATACAGCTACATATCATAATACTAGAGATATCACTGTGAATGTTGTTGAGGCTGACGGTGTGAAATATTCCTGCTCAGGTTGCTGGAGGAGCTGGAGGAGCTGGAGGATTTGCGTTTGCACAACTGGAAGGAAATGATCAAGAACAATCACGTGACTGAAGCGAGCCAATCCATGAGAGATACCGCCGACGCCTTGGACCAGATGTGCCGGACGCTGAGGACTCAGTTCGACGACATGAAGTGAGATGTTTATTTTACCGCTGGGTGGCTTTGACTATAAAAAGATATCATCATTTATCAGTTGATTTATATTTTGTATTAATAATCTGAAGTAACTTGTAACTGAGGCTTTCAAATAAATGTAGTGGGTTAAAAATATAGGGCACTGTATATGCTAGTATAAGGTCATATCAGGTCTAAATTCTCAATTTAAGTCGTTTTTACTGAAGTACGGAAGACCGGTACCTTCCAGAGAAACTTAACTAGGAGTTTAACTAGACCTAAACCATGATCTTACTCATTGTGCCAGGGCAAAGCAGGTTTCTTGAATCATGCTAACTGGACTGGTTTCGTTCACAGGACGATGATGGCTAACAGGCAACGAGAACACCAGGAAAGGCTGAAGAAAGAGAGGCAGGAGAAAGAATGGTTCCCAAGAGGACGACAGGAACACAGGAATCTAAAGATGGCGTTGAGCTTTCTGATTATTTTTCTGTTTCTGTTTCAAGGTTCCATTTTCTGTAAAACAGACAAAGATATGAGTTTGAGTTCAGAGCGAAGCATCCAAGGGAAGGAGACTGAATCCCACATGGGTTTAAGACATGAGGAAGAAAGACAGGGACATCAAACAGAGCGGACAGGAAGTGAGTTAGAGAAAGGGAGTGAGTGGACAGGAAGTGAGAGCATCCAAAGAGAAACCCCATTCGTCAGGGCAACGTTGTTAAATGTTAACTCGATGAACAAAAAAACATCCAACATCTCAGAGTTCATCACCAACTGGACGTCCTTTTCTCAACTGAGACGTTTTTAAAGTTGGACACGGCAGACGACGTCCTCAGGGAGGCTTCGCCCCAAAACTTCACATCCTTCCATCATGTGAGTGAACTCATCGGGCGTAGAGGGGTAGCTATCCAGGTCTCTCCAGTGTTGCATGATGAACAAATTCAGTTTGACAACATAAAGACCTTTGAATGTGTGGTGACAGCTCTGAAACATGACGAGTGGGAAGAACCCGTCCTGAGCATCAACCTCTATCGCCCACCAGAGAAAACCCTGACCACCATCAGCAACTTCCTGAAAGAGTTTCAGGAACTCTTGAATGAGATTTCCCAAAACAACATCATTGTGACCGGAGATTTCAATATCTGGGTTGATTGTGACTGGAGGACCCATGCTGACGACTTTCATTGGTTTCTACTGATTAACGGCTTCGACATGCACCCAAGGGAGCCGACCTACCCCTCCGGTCACTTTCTGGATCTGGTCCTCACCAGAAATGTTGACATTTCTGACGTTGAAGTCCGGGACGACCAAATATCAGATCATAACACTGTGTATTTCAACTGGAGGCCAGTGCCGAAAAATAAAAGGAAAAAACAAGACGAGGATGGGAAACGATTTAAAAAGGGTTAAAAATGTAACTTTGACTTTCTCAAAGTATTAAGTAACACAGGACTCGTTTAAAGGTGGGGTCGGTAAGTTTGAGAAAGCGGCTCGTGTCTCTTCAGATTATTAATGATTGTAGTCTGAGCCCAAAGTCTGAATGCATTAGATGTTGCTTTGAAAGGGAAAGATTGTGTGAGGTTGAATTGATCTGTGCGTCAGTTATTAGTTTGAACAAAGAGCTGCCATCGTCTCCTGATGAGGTTTCTTTATGATCCTTTGATTCTTGTTGCTGTTGAACTCTGATTGGTCAACGCAGAACTTTTTCATTTTGTAAATTGATCTCAAGACGTACCATAGTGTTTAATGCTTTTACATAAATGAACATGTGTTATGATGAGTGTGGTCAGGCAGCAGAGATCAGCCGCTTACCATCAAACTGAGATCATGTCATATCAAAATGGAGTTTCTATATCTTTGAATAAATGTTTAAAAACATCAACGTGTTTTATTGCCATAAAAGT